CATGACCCATTAAACCTTTTATGTCTGCCATCTGGTCTAGCCCACTGCAGTGTTTCATAGAGGATTTCTTTTTATAGGCCAGGCTTATTCAGTTCATGACCTATGTTCCTGTTTTTTGCAAACCTCCCCCACCCTCCTTTCTTTGCATGTGCACGTGAGCGCACACATCCATATGTGTGCACACACATTTTTGAGAAGGCTATTTCCCTCTAAGGTTGGTAGAAAGTAGGACAGGGTGGCATCTAAATAGTTAGTCGCTAAGGTGCAGCCCTGCTCTGCCTGCTGCCTGACTTAAGACTAACAGGATGGACTACCTCTCTCTACACTTTAAATTGTGGACATTAATGAACTGTCAAGTAATTTTTTTTCATTTCTCAAGCTGAAGATAGAAGCCATCCTTGGGCAGCACCAGGGAACTAAAGGTCCCTCTAAACAGTTTAAATTTTTTTAAAAATTGGAAAATGTTAGTCTTTAAACAGTTTTTTCCAGCTCTATTGCTGGAAATCTAGATGCAGAAATTGGAAGCTTATCTAAAATCTGTCCTGTACTTTAAACAATAATCCAGGAAAGTCTGCTGCAATACTAGCTGGTCAGGATGTTCCCTTGCACTCTTATAATCTATTACATCTATTGCCTGTCTCTTTAAATTGAAAAGAGTTTAAGAGCTGAAATCTAAGATACCATAGGGTCAGTCTTTCAACGGGTAGCTCACCTGCATTAGCAGCTTATCCACAGCATCTGCCAAGAGCTTTCAGGAATGTATCATCTTCATATCAGGACTGATTTGGTAGGAAAAGTTGCATATGCATGCTATTTAATAGACCTGGCTGAATTTTCCTAAGTCATTGAAATTGTCTGTGGCTTATCCATTTTTTTTATCAGTATAGGAGTGCATTCTGCGGTTGAGGAATTGATACTTGGATTGATTTGTTGTAAAATAATACAGGGAGAGTGTTGCAATAGATATTTTACCTGTGAACTGCATTCAGTATTGGAGAGTTGCAAATTCAGAATAGCCCATCCTGGAAAGAACTGCAGTGTGGCATTGTGCACATCTTGGTTTTAGGCTCCTATATCACTTGCACCTTTTATAGAAGTTTGTAGTTCGCAACTCGGTTCAAAGGTGTTGAAAAAGTTTAAAATGTTTATTTTTTGAAGAAGAAATATTTGGAAATGTCAACAGGAGGAAACTAGTCCGAGAAAGAGTTCGCCACTAGAGGGCCTCAGAAAGGTCCTGCGCGTCTTGCGCTTGCCTTTTGAAACGGCTTAAACGTTGCATTTGTTCATGGCCTCAGTCGCTTGCCTGACTGCTGAACCAGCAATCCAGCCAGTCATACCTATTCCCAATGCAGAGAGACAATTGGCAGATGCATTTCATTTTTACTGTATTTGGAGCAGCTGTGGAGGAAGTGCAATAGAATTATTAAAACTGTATCCACTGGTAAATTTGCACATGCTCTTAAGTTCTGGGTAAACTTCAGTGATATGAAAATGCAGTGTGCTAATTCATGTTTGGTGAAGAATTTGATATGCTACTAGTTGCTATGTGTTATTTGTATTATAGTAGCATGTAGATGCAGTAGTTAGAATATGGGATTCCATTTTGATAGGTGCAGTACAGTGAAAAGATGGCTCTGTCCCAAGGTTTTCACCATAACAAGATACATTATTTTGGGTAAGTAACTTTAAAGATGAGGAAGGACAAGGGAAATATCAATGCAAACTGAATTTATGTAGGTCAGATGCACAGTGCCAGATATTTTTCAGATTGGCTAAATTTTATTTTTAAATAAAAATTCCCCTGGGCTTTTGCTAGTATTCCAAGATGTGGAAAATCAGCTTTCACTCTCTATGGCGCGCCCCCCCCCACTTCGGCTCTTTTAAAGCTGGGATGCAAGCTTTCTGGAATTACTCGTTTTGCAGTTATCTACGGTTACTAGCTTTTTGATACAAATACACTGCCCCCTTCTCCCACTGCCTAGATGTAGGGCAGAAATCTTCTTTTAGTACTTCTGCCTTTTCTGCATTATTATTGATATTGTTATCATTTCAGTTAATAGTAATTCACCAATACAATTGTTAGGATTATTTTTGTTCCTGATAAAGTTTATAGTTTTTAACCCTTCCAGCTGCAGACTTCTGTGTGTCCTCTTGCTTCCCTTATCAGATTTCCACTGCTCTCATGTTATGGTTTGTATCAATTGCTAGCACTTTTCCATTTGCTAGCTATATACTTTTTCCTTTAATTACTTGCACTTCTCTAAACCACATTGTTTTTTAACCTGTGAAGCCTTTTTTCTCAGTTGTTAGTTTGTGACTTTCAATCTCCTAAAATACTCTTAAACTGTTACTAATTATCTTTCATATTTTTCCTACTTAAATTCAATCTACACTCATAACTATTTTCAGCTTTGTGTAATATTGGGCTTTTTGAAATATGTACACAATTATTTATTGGACTTTACTCTCTTTATGCTCAAGAAATGTAGTCAGATGTTGATCACCTGTGCATAAGGGACCACTATGTTTTAATTCTGCTATCAATTTTATTCCAGTCATAGAATCATAGAGAAGTACGGCTGGAAGAGATTTCAGTAGGTCATCTAGTCCAGCTCCTTGCCTGAGGCAGGATCATCACTATCCAAACCATCCAATACTGATCCACAATCTAACCTCTTAGTAAAACTGCTCTGTCAACTCTGATACAACACAAGACATAACTTCCTAACCTGCCACAGATAAAGCAAGGGGACCATGGCAGCCAACATCCTGATCCTGCAGAGGTTGTTTAAATGTTCAGGAGATCCCAGGAAGAGGGCCATGCCCCCCTGCTACAGAGAAAGGCAAAACACCACAGTCTGTACCAGTTTGGTCATGGTAAAATTTCTTCATGACCTCAGACATGCCAATCAGTCTATCCTGAGTGGAAAGGCAAGACTCTCTAACCAGGAACATCCAGGGTTAAGTCCCAGCAGGAGCATTGGTACACCCATTAAAATCCCCAACCTTGGCTGCAACTGACACCCAGTGCCTCTAGCATGTGTAACAGCAAGGAAGGAGGGTTTAGTGGGGGTGGAATTCCCTCCCAGTGCTACCAGCCCAGGATCATGGGAAATCCCCCCATTAGAAGGTAGGTATAGCAATGCCTAGATCATCCCCAACTAGTGGCTGTCCAGCCTCTTCTGGAACACTGCCAGTGATGGAAAGTCCACAGCTTCCCTAGGTGTCTATTCCATGCTTTGCTCTTCTAAAAGTGAGGAACTTTTTCCTGATATCCAATCTAAACCTACTTTGCTGCAACTTCAGGCCATTAGTCTGCATCCTACTCTCTGCAGCAAGAAAAAAAAGGGGTTTTCTCTCTTCCTTATGGCAGCCCTTCAGGTATTTGAAGATTGCTACCAAGTCTACTCTTAAGCACCTTTTCTTGAAGCTGAATATGCCTAGTACCTTCAGCCTCTCCTCGTATGACTTGCTTTCCAAGTCCTTCATCCTCTTTGTTGCCACCTCTGGAACTTTCTCTAGGTTCTCTATGTCCCTCTTACAGTGTGGATCCCAGAACTGCACAAAATCTTCCAGATGAGGCCTAACCAGTGCAGAGTAGAGAGGCACAGTCACTTCACACACCTTGCACCTAACCTTCTATTGCTGCATTGCAAGACCACATTTGCCTTTTGTGCAGCTGCATCATACTGCAGACTTGTATTGAGTCTTTCTACCAAGACTCACCTGGCAGTGTGCCCATTACCAGGCAGCAAGAGGCCTGGGGGTGGGTGTTGGAGGCAGCTCTGGTGCCGTGTCCCTCCACCTGCCTCCTCCCTGCAGTGATAGCGGTGATGATAATAGTAGTGGCAGAGCAGGACCCCTCAAAAGGTGGTGGCAGGCAGCAGGTGGAGGGCAAGCTGCGTACCAGCATGGAGAAGGGGGCAGGGACAGCAGCTCAGGCACCCCCATGGCTCCTGAGGAATAGGCTGCCAGGTGGGAGGAACCTGCTCGCACTGGGTGCCCCACCTAGGTGTCTAGCAGCTGGTCTGCCTGAGCCTTGGTGGGGCTAAGCGCCCTGAGCTTCCTCTCAAACAGCCTCTCCCCTACCCAGTGCCATCTTGGTGGTACTGAGCAGTGGAGGGGCTGTTTGAAAGGAAATTCAGGGGGTCAGTCACGTGTGCAAATTGCATGTTTCATGAAAATCGCTTAAAATTTTGTGATTTTTATGAAAAATGCAAAATCAGGATTTAAACCAGGCCCTATACATAAGTAGAAAGATATACTAGACCCTACTGGGAAATAATCATTCCAAAAACAGTATAGTAGAACACAATTGGAGATCTCTCTACTTCAGAGCCTCTGTACTGGCTGCATTGATCTTTACTGAATTTGTGGTTTCTGAGTAGAGATGTTTTATTAGCTATTTCTATTGAAAATTAGGTAGAGGAGAGGGCAGGAAACTGGTTATCTCCTATTATAATTATAGGGTTTTTTTTTTTCAAATGAATGATTTGAGCTCCCTAAAACTGGAAACACTGAGAGAGATCACCCCCTCTTTTCTTTGTCCCAATCTTGTAGACTTGGATTTTTTAATACTAATACAAGTTAAAAGTGATATATAACTTTGGGGGGAGGGGGTGAAAAGGATGAAAACTTGTTTAGAGACATTTTTGGACAAATGTGTGCTTCTTGTTTTGTACTGTTACAACATGGAAGTAAATGCAACTGACAGACAATCTAGAAGTGCTCTCACATCAGTAATCAGATTAATTTTATCAGTCAGTACTTAAAGATGTACGGCCTTACAAAAAAGAATTGCTAGGTTTCTTTTATAAATCAGGGGAGGGCTCATGGTGTTGGCGTGACAACTGCATGATTCTTATGCTTGTTGTTTGTAACTTACTGTTTAGAAATAAACTTGCTAAGCTTTCTGGTTATTTAAGATAAAATATTTGTTTTAACAAGGTTTGTTTTCTTCACCTAAATAGGTAATTTATTCTTTTTCCTACTTTCTTACAGTGTAAAAAATGCTGGATGCAAATTGTAGAAGACATTTTCCTGTGGAACGTATCCGTGTAAATCTTCTCTAAAATTCCCTGAAGGTATATACTGCACTTGTGATGGACCCTCTGAATACTGCTATGTTAGGTTTGGGTTCTGATTCCGAAGGGTTTTCTGAGAAAAGCCCCTCTGCAGTAAATACAGGCACAGTGGCAGGCAAAAGAGAAGCAGAGCTAGAAAGTTGCACTAGGGAAGAAGAAGAAGAAAAGAAGAACCAAGAGGGGACCAACAGTGAGGCTGGAAAGAATGAGGGCTTGACTGATGAACAGCAACAATTTTCAGTGAAGGAAACAAACTTTTCAGAGGGAAATTTAAAATTGAAAATTGGCCTTCAAGCTAAGAGAACTAAAAAGCCCCCAAAGAATCTTGAGAATTATGTGTGCCGGCCTGCCATAAAAACCACCATCAAGCAACCCAGAAGGGCACCAAAAAGTGGGAAGATGACAGATGAAAAAAATGAACACTGTCCTTCAAAACAAGTGAGTAGTATGAAACATTTTTTAATTTCCACATTATTTGAAAACAGGTTGTATGCACTGTTGGCCAAATTACATACCTACAGAAAATGTAACACTGCCTTCTGAAGTGCAGTTACAATAAGAAAAAAAGCAATGTCTCCCAGAATTCATGGTACATATCCATTGATAAGTTTATGGTCTGAGTTAGCTTACAGATCTAAAAGTTTTTTTGTCTTCACTGCAAGATCATGCTCTGTGTAGAATGCTCTGTATGTTATCACCCACAATGAAGATTCTGGCTTCAGAACTTAACTGGACTGTCTGTTAACATTGGCAGAAAATTCATTTTGCTCTTCGACTTCTTAATTGGCTTTGACAAAATGTATTGCATCCTAAATGGATATCCTGAGGAAAGCACTTGAACAGTATCAAAATGATTTTCGTCTCTTACATGGAAGTTTGCTCTTCCCTCTATTTAACACGATGTATTTATAACATCACTATCATAGCTGGATTTATACCTCTACTTAATAGTTGTTTTAATGCCTTGCTGCTAACCATTTCCCTTGCTGCCCATCTATGCCCTTTTACATTGTCTGTGTTTACTACCTAAGGCCTTGATTCAGCAAAGTATTTAACGTGTCTAAATCCTGTGGAAGCCAAAGCTTAAAGTTACCAATGTGTTTTATTGACTTAAGGCTGAAAATCCCTGCTCCCAACCAACCTTTCTTGAAAACCCATCTTCCTTTATTCCTGAATCCTTCCAGCTCTCCCCCTCTCTCCTTGTGCTTCCCCAGGATTTATTCTATAACTGCCCTCCCTCGATAAACTGCCTGGGGGCTGCCATATCCTAAGACAAGGTTGACAACCTCGGGTCTGCAGGCTGAACTTTGGAAGCTTCAGCTGCCCTGTGCCGCAGCTAGGTGGTGGGGGGCTTTGTTTGCATTACATTGCAGCTGGCTAGCTGGGGTTTACCTGCATTGTACCGCTGCCAGACATCAGGGAGAAATAGCAGTGACTAACCTGCCTTGCACCTAAGCCAGGTCATCTTGGCTTACCGCTGCAAAAAGGTTGCTGTCCTTAGAGGATACCATGCCTACCCCTGTCAGTCAGTTCCCTTTAGTGCGAGTCCCTCTGCTTGCCATAAGGCTCTGGATGTCAGAGGTTCCCAAAATAGAAGGCTACTTCATTTCTCAAGCCTGCAACTTTTCCAACACAACTGCCTGCATAAACACACATTTGGCAATGTTTGTAGAGTCCTCATACAAAAGGTGGTGAAATGATGATTCATTGGTCATGTAATGACAAAGGTCTGGTTTTTTGCTGTCATAGTTTCATAGTTAGTAGAGTCAGAAGGGACCTGAGCAGATCATCAACCCCCAGCCATGGCAGGAAAGAGTACTGGGGTCAAACGACCCCAGCAAGGTGATTGTCTAGCCTTGTCTTAAAGACCCCCAAGGTAGGAGCCAGCACCACTTTGCTTGGAAGTTGGTTTCAGATCCTAGCCATCCTGACAGTGAAGTAGTGCCTCCTGATGTCTAATCTGAATGTACCCTCTGGCAGCTTGTGACCATTATTTCTAGTCATTCCTGGTACTGCTGGGGGGAACAGGGACTCCCCCAATGCCTGCTGGTCCCCTCTGACTAGTTTGTAACAGGCCACTAGATCCCCCCTCAGCCTTCTCTTGTGGAGGCTGAACAGGTTCAGGTCCCGTAGCCTCTCCTCGTAGGGCCTATCTGCTGTACATAGTACACACAGAGCTTACTGTCCGAATGTTGGATTGGACAGGCAAGTGAGGATAATGAACCAGGCAGGATGCTGATAATGGAGAACAGATTCCCCACTTCTTAGTTTAAGCAGACATATCTTAAGAGGCTTAAACTTTTTTTTACCCATATGTAAATATATTTAAAGCTTTTATATAAAAAATGTTTTATTCCTAAACCTTCTGGTTGCAAAGATAATCTTTCTGTTGTGAGACAGTATTATTTTTGCATTGATGCCTACACAGTCAGATTGCAAATTGGCTGAAGGGTTGTACTCAGAGGGTAGTGGTGGACGGGTCTTTTTCGACCTGGAGGAAAGTGGGCAGTGGAGTCCCCCTAGGGCTCAGTCCCTAGGCCTGCACTGTTCAATTTCTTTATTAGTGACTTAGACGACAGGGTGAAAAGCAGCCTGTTTAAATTTGCTGATGATACCAAGATTTGGGGTGAGGTGGGCACGCTAGTAGGGAAGGGCAGTTTACAGCAGGACCTGGACAGGTTACAGGGGTGGGCTAACAAAAATAGGATGGGTTTCAATACTGACAAGTGCAGGGTGCTGCACTTGGGCAGTAGGAACCAGCAGCACACTTATAAGCTGGGAAACTCCCTTCTTGAGAGCACGGTGGCAGAAAGAGATCTTGTAGTCGTTATTGACTCCAAGATGAATATGGGCTGAAAATGCAAGGTCACGGTCAGTAGGGCTAACCATACCTTGTCGTGCATCCACAGATGCGTGTCAAGTAGGGCCAAGGAGGTGCGACACTGGTCAGGCCACAGCTGGAGTACTGAGCGTCGCACTTCAGGAGGGGTGTGGACAGCATTGAGAGGGTCCAGAAGAGGGCCCACCCGCATGATCTGGAGACAACAGGGCAGACCTACTAAGAGAAGCTACAGGACCTTAACCTGTTCAGCCTTCACAAGAGAAGGCTGAGGGGGGACCTGGTGGCCGTCTATAAACTCATTAGGGGGGACCAGCAGGATTTGGGAGAGACCTTGTTCCCCCTAGTACCCACCCCCCCCGGGCTAACAAGGAATAACAGCCACAAGTTGTTAGAGAGTAGGTTTAGACTAGACATCAGGAGACGCTACTTCACAGTCAGGGCAGCTAGGATCTGGAACCAACTTCCAAGGGAAGTGGTGATAGCTCCTACCCTGAGGGTCTTTAAGAGGAGGCTTGATGTCTACCTGGCTGGGGTCATTTGAGCCCAGTTTTCTCTCCTGCCCAGGGCAGGGGGTCGGACCTGGTGATCTACAAGGTCCCTTCTGACCCTACATCTATGAATTTTCCTGAACTGGTAGGCAAGCAGAAACAAAAGCCTTGAGGAATATGTGCTTTTTGTATTTCTGTGATGGATTTAAGGTCTGAAAGCTTTCTTTAAAAAAAAAATCTGTTTATTTTATTTTTGTAACATCAGGAGTATCAGCTATAGGTTTTTCTTGGTGTTGTTTGAAAGTTTGTTGATCAGAGAGATTGAAAATAAATCTTGCACCTTAATTCAGTGATTCTTAACCAGGGTGCTGTGAGATTCTTTTAAGGATCTACAGTACCATACTAGAGTGTATTAGCGCTATTAGGTCTGTAAACATTCAAATACGATTCACCAGAAAAACCAAGTGATTTCAGATAGAAAGACCACAGCAGGTCAAAACATTTTTGCCATTCTGGCTTCCTGAGTTCTCTGCAACAGAAGAACAGCTCTATTATTTTTCCGTAGCCAAAAAAAACAGTGAAAATGAAGAGCTGATCTTTTCCAAGGGTGTGCCTTGAGTCTAAGGACCTATGCTCTGAATCTGATGAGGTGTACCTTGAGTCTAAAAAGGTTGAGCACTACTGCTCTAGCTGAAGCTGTAGGAGTGCCACATCTTTTAACAAAATTATCTTTTTACAAAATTCTGGTAACTTGAATTAAGCAGATGAACCCAAGAGTTGTACAGAGTCTGATTTTAAAAATTGCATTTCCTCTTAATTGCATATCAATTTCTTGCTGATCAAATTCTTCAAAAATCATAGAATTTTTCAGGCTGTACAGATTTTGAACCCTGCTGTGTGTGGTTTTGTGTATAAAAAGAGTCACTGCAACTCTTTTAGATTTTGTTAATTAAAAGGCAAAAGAGGAATCGCCTGTTTGTTTTCGTTCAGTTCAAAACCCTTATTTCAGTTTAATTTTCCATGTCTTCCTTTTTTTTACCTTTGAGACTAGAGTGCATCTTAGGCCCCCTCTACACATAACAGGTATGGCACAATTAACTTGTTAGTTGTGCAGGTAGTTACCTTAAGACCAGCTACACATGCAAAGTAGCAGTTGCACCATAAAAAACACCATTCAGATACACATTTTTGAGGTCTAACTTTATATTAACTTTATAGCTGGTTGCTGTTGCATTTTAATTTGCACGTATAGCAGGGTTTTAGTTGATGGGGCTCCTAGCTGTAGGAGGCACCAGGCTCAGCAGGTGAGGGGACTCACAGCCGTAACAGCTGCCGACTCTGAGTCCTGTGGTTGGGGTTCCCCTGCACTGGCAGTAAGGTACAGTGGGATCTAATGTGCGATCTAACAATCATGCCTTCTGCCGTGCACATGTAGAGGGAGCCTTAGCGTATCTGAAAGAGAAATTATGTTTGTTTTTTCTGGACTAATCCCAATCGAGAGAGTGTGATGGGGAAATCTAAATCTGCCAGATACTTTCTGATAATTGGTTGAAAGGCTGACTTTATCATTGTCTAAAGGTACCTACAGAGGAAGGAAATTTGTGAGAATAGATGGTTCTTTAATGTAGCAGAAAAAGGTGTAATGAGAGATTTAGTGTTCGGGAGCCAAATCTAGGGAAATTCAGGCTTGAAATGAGGCATAAATTGTTAATGGCCTGAGTCTAAATCTTTCCTATACCATTGGATGTTGCTTAGGGCATGACCAGGAATCTGCTGTTCTCATTTTTCTGCTATTGACTCAAACAGAATAATTATTACATAATATCTATTACTTAGCATTTTAATAAGGTTGGGTTCTTGGCCTAGTGTTCAACCCCCAATCTGGAGGATGGTTTGACACGCTTTGTTTGCTTTCTCCTTTTGATCAGTTGGGGCATCAGTATCTCTGAAACTACTGCTGTACTTTTCAGAGTCATTGGAACAAGCAGGCTTTTTCACTACATCAAAATATAGCTAACTTGCTCACAGTTTTTAACAATGGAGTTAATTAAACACTGGAATTTAACCACTCATGCAGTGGATTCCCTATCATTTAATCTTTTCATTTA